CACATAAGAATGTTATGACATGGATAAACACATAGGAATGTTGTGACATGGATAAACACATAGGAATGTTGTGACATGGATAAACACATAGGAATGTTGTGACATGGATAAACACATAGGAATGTTATGACATGGATAAACACAGGAATGTTGTGACATGGATAAACACATAGGAATGTTATGACTTGGAAAAAACATAGGAATGTTATGACATGGATAAACACATAGGAATGTTGTGACATGGATAAACACATAGGAATGTTGTGACATGGATAAACACATAGGAATGTTGTGACATGGATAAACACATAGGAATGTTGTGACATGGATAAACACATAGGAATGTTGTGACATGGATAAACACATAGGAATGTTGTGACATGGATAAACACATAGGAATGTTATGACATGGATAAACACATAGGAATGTTGTGACATGGATAAACACATAGTTATGAATGATAAACACATAGGAATGTTGTGACATGGATAAACACATAGGAATGTTGTGACATGACATAGGAATGTTGTGACATGGATAAACACATAGGAATGTTGTGACATGGATAAACACATAGGAATGTTAGGACATAGATAAACACAGGAATTTTGTGACATGGATAAACACATAGGAATGTTGTGACATGGATAAACACATAGGAATGTTGTGACATGGATAAACACATAGGAATGTTGTGACATGGATAAACACATAGGAATGTTGTGACATGGATAAACACATAGGAATGTTGTGACGTGGATAAACACATTGTAATTATGAAATCTATAGCCTCACCCCCACTCCCCATATGGCTGGCGCTTTCACGGCACGTGATCATGCGACCCACAGTTTTTGAGATATTGTTTGAAGCATAATCTGTGCATTTCAGTTTGATGGGGATTGATCGCCTGTTTGGACCAAAGTTGCCGTTTTATTCAAATGCCCATGAATTTGATGTTTGAATAATGAGAATGTGAATACACGGGTCTAAAACCCCAGTTTGTGCAGGCACTCACCGACACAGACAGGCTGAGGGGGACAGGGATCTTTCTTGCAGTACACAACCTGATGAATACACATCTCCCCGTTGGCACACGACAGGGCCTAGAGGAATAACAGTGAATGAGTTAGTGTGGTTTTACGCCGCTTTTAGCAACATTCCAGCAATATCAGAGCGGAGGAACATCAGAAATCGGCTTCACACATTGTACCAATGTAGGGGAATCGAACCCGGGTCTTCAGCGTGACGAGTGAACACTTAAACCATTAGGCTACCCCACCTCCCCTATGGCGTGGAGGAATAACAGCATCAGTGGGCATCAACCACGACTTACGGCATTACGACTGTTTCACCGTACATGTATGGCTTGTTATTTAACGCCGCACTCCAGCAATGTTCCAGCTACAAGATGATGGTCTGTTAAACTATTTTAGACCAGACAATCGTGTGATTAACGTCATGAGCATCGACCAAATGGCATACGATGATATGTCAACCAAGTCAGCGAGCCTGACCACCCGATCCCGTTAAGTCACCTCTTATATACAAGCATGGGTTACTGAAGACCAATTCTTATCCGGATCTTCACTTGATATATCATCTTGTCTCGAGTTCACCTGGTAACTTATAGTTTACGAATTAAGACAAGATGTTGCTTCAAATCTCCATGGACTCTTCGTGGGACAAGAACACTGTTCGCGACACTATTTGTCCTGATGTGGATGTAGAGTATATTCCGATTTAGCATGCTTAGGAGACGATACATAATAAATCTTCCAGCCTTCCAGAACAACTCGATGGCTGTCTTTGATAATTGAACTTTTGGTCAGAGAGACATAGCATAACTGTAAGCGAAATCTTTGCTGCTGACATTCATTGATTGATCAATATAGTGACATCAGCCAATATCTCTGACAGTATTCTCTTATACATGTGAATCATGAATACCGCATTCTTGCTCTTACCAATGACAAGCTGCATTCTTGGTACTGTATGTTGGTCAGGTATAAAAAATCAAGCGTCTATTGTAGTGCATATGAGAAAAGAAGTGACTATAATCTAGCATAGATAAGTATTATCTCTAAGATAAACGCTTACACGTTTGTATTTTTCTTTTCTTTTTTTTCCTTACTACAATTATCATTTTTGGTTTTAAACAAGAATGATTTAAAACAATGTTAAGTTTCTTTTGACCGGCAGTTTATTACCCTTTTATTGATAACAATGACCGCGTCCGTGGTGTAGTGGTTAGAGCGTCCGCCCGGAGAGCGGAAGGTCGCGGGTTCGATCCCCGACCGCGTCATACCAAAAGACGTTAAAATATGGTACTTGTTGGTCCCTGCCTGGCGCTCGGCATTAATGGGTACAACAAGGACTGGTCGGCTCGGAGTCAGTATAATGTGTCTGAGTGGGGTATTCATGCTTCTCTGCCGCTTGGTATCTCAGTGGGCTAGCACTATAAACCCAGCTTAAGTCTGGGCTAGTACAAGCAGCCACACATACACATACACACGCATGCACGTCGTCATATGAGCGAAATCTTCTCAAGCACGACGTTAAACCCACTTTCGCCTCACCTCATTGATAACAAAATGGGGTGAATATACAATACAACTCAGGATGAATCAACTATTGTGGCTGAGTGGTGTGTTTCCATCCACTTCAGTGTATTATATACTGAAGGGGAAAATAACGTATACAGAGTTCGTATTTCTGTATGTTTGGAAATTGAAAGAACTGCTGTTAAATTTCATTTGTGTCGATTCAACCATCAGTCATTCATGGATATCGTGGGCATTATTCACTTTGGATAAATCCATGGGCATATTGCTGACAGACCTAGCAAAATAATCAGGATGTAGCGAATGGACCCAGGTTATTATATATGTTTATATGATAACATTAATAATATCCTTGATAATCGAGGATGACGTATGTGCCTATCAAGACATTTAACATAAAAGACATTAAGCGACAAGTCATTTACATGGAACTCTCCGGCAGCAACAGACTCGTCGTTTTATGGATGAAATAATGTGGATGCGACGTAAAATCTTGACTCACTCACTTACTCACCCAGTAGATAAATATTTCCCAGGTAAGTTAGACAAACCCTGATTAAGTACCTGGGGTATCAGCGCAAGAGGGGGAGTGAGGGTATATCCGGTAACGCCGTTATGATCAATATTAAACGAGTGAACCCGTTTTCGCATAAACTATCAGATTATCTTAAAAGTTTTTAGTTGTTGTTTTCCGGGTCTCCCAATGTTTACGTTGTTCAATTTGTTTAATGTCCTTGTTTTCTTCGTATACAGATTATAAAGAGTTAAAGAGAAAATGACCCATTGAAAAAAAGGCCCCAGGATATATGGAGAAAATCCAGTCTAAATAAACTTAGGCTCAGTATTATTCGTTTCACTGCTATACTGAGTCTAACAAAGCCCAGTAGAGCTAGCCTTTGAGCGACCTATGACCGTCCAATCAAACGCGAGACTGCCAAAAGGATTTAACCAATCAGGCAACGACTATTTGTTAGGGTTCGGCGGGACTTACAAAACGGTTTTTGGATTTTTTTCTCTTCCCTGGTCGCTGACACTGATCTATCAACAAACGAAAATCCGCATAAAACACAGATATTTGACCTGCAGTATATACGCTTATGGATTTCTAATGACATGGTTACTATTTGCTTACATTTTCGCAAGATGACATCCTTGAATATTGACAAAAACGCTATTTTCAGCGACTGTTTACTCATTGCGTGTATCATCGGAAGCGATCGTGCGGAAAATAGCATTCAGAATCGTTCGAGTTTTTTTAGGTAAAGGTTCAAACGGTATGTGCGAATGTTAACTTTCGCGATTTGGTAAGCTATGTTCTGATTGGTCAATCCAAAAGGTTAGCTGACGCGACCTTCTACTAGACTTTGTTAGACTCAGTATAGCAGTGTAACGAATAATACTAAGTTTACTTAGACTGGGAGAAAATCGCCCCTAATTTGGTGAAAATTAACACAAATTATCTTTGGAGAATTTATCTTTGGATCTAAACAATTCTTACACAAATCTTTTGTGATTTAGTTTAAACTAACAAGATTTGTTTTTATGTTGTTCGTTTTTCAATTAGTAACCATGGTAACAAAAGTAGTCAGAGAATCATGATCAGTAGCAGGTCGGACTAACAATGCAAAACAAGATGCATGTCCTGCGTTAAGGATGTCAGATGAGATAGAGAGAAAAGGGTCAATATATTAATTGTATTAACAAAATCACTGTCGACGTGTGCTACATTTGTTTGGGACCGATTTCAGGTCCATTCTCATCAAGATTGTTATTCTTTCAAAAATTGCTCATTTGTGTTTTTGACTAATTTCCCCAGATGACAATTCGTCAATCACTGTTACACAGGGATCTAGTCAAATGGGCCGAAGGACAAAAGGGCCGAGAAGTGCCAAGTCAAATGGGCCGATGGAAAAAGTCAAATGGGCCGTGGTGAAAGTCAAATGGGCTGTGAATAAATGTCAAAAGGGCCTTATTCTTAGTCATATGGGCCGAACAAAAAAAAGTTAACAAATGTTTTTAATTTTATTATTAGTCATGACACCGTGTCAAGACACATAACAACGAAAACCTTTGAGTCGCATGTTCAAATTCCATTTAAAATAACAACAACAACAAACTAAACACTATTTTATTAAGTAACTTATTAATTTTTTATTTTTCGGCCCTTATTCGGCCTTTTTGACTTTTGATTTCGGCCCATTTGACTTTTTTTCTCGGCCCTTTTGTCCTTCGGCCCATTTGACTACAACCCTGTTACACAATCCAAAAGGTTTACATTAGAACTAACAAGATATACGTTAAACATATGTAAATAGTTAGGTACAAAGTCATAAAGGGAAGAGATTATGGGTATATGGTCTCTGTAAAGGGCTTCATAATATTTATAACTTGCGGTCTGATAACAAGTGTCCTTGGATTATCTCCCTTCCATGTTTCCGAAAATGGCGACCTCCATGTGTAAATTGTGTTCTAGTAAACTATCAACTTTACAGATCTTTTTACGTCGACATGTTCGTTTGAATGCTAGTGTATCCAACGCATTGTTTAGTTCAGGGCCTTCGCCAGATGATGAAGAGGTTTTGCTGAAACCAAAGAGACCTGTAATTGAAGATGAAGACATTATCGAGAAACTGAGAGATGTCTCACTTCTGAGGGGTAATCTTTACAAACGTCAACATAACCTGCAACTAGAGATCCGTTCAGCTTATCAGAGGGAGCTCCGTTACAGGAGACGCAACTATGCAAAGTTCGGGGATGAGTCTGGATTCGACCCCCGGAAATGTTGGCCCACCCGCAGGGAACTGAGGGATGAGATTAAGCTGGAGAAAGAGTGGGAACCAACATTAGACAGTATGATGAAAAACATACAGAGAAGAAAACAGGCAGATGAAGCTAAGATGGCTAAAAGGTACGTAATAGTGTCACTGAACTAAAGGTTTAGATTGACCGAATGTTTACTGTAAATGCCCCAAATTATTATCATATACATCGGTGATATTAATTTGTAGCTTTCGTGTATGAATGATAAATAATATGAAAATTTTACACAACATACTTTAGAAAGGTACGTACACTCTCATTTATACCTGCTAAATAGTAACCATGGTAAATATAACTTGTAATCAATGTCAAAATTAACAGATTTAGCATATAAAGATCCTTGGTCGTCGGATATGTGTACATAGTATACATACTGGCTAGCAAACAGTTATCGCCGCGTAACGGTCATCGCCAATACATCAGTATGACACATGCGCAGTTCAGGTCAATTACAATTCCGGTATTTTTTCCCCCACGGTTTTTGACAACAATAAAGGACACGAAAAGAAAATTCTTCACGGCAAGTAACATAAGAGAAAAATTAAAGATCAGGATTTTACACAGACTTTTTAAAAAATGGGAGTCATTGTGACTCACAACATTTATTTTTTGGAGTTATTTTCAATATTTGGGAGTCATGAAAATTTAATATTTCTTTGTGTTAATCATTCTTAGTACGTAACTGTGTATGTCACACCACCAAATGAAACTACAGCATTGTTCAATTCAAAGAGCCAGGATTACTGTCTCCTCTGAGTTCTCTGGAACAATCTGACAGCTCTGTGAAAGTCAACTAGCATCGAACAATATGATTTTTTGCTTATCAAATCGATTTTATTGAACTGAATTGTGAGGGCCACCAATAAAATTTGCGTCAAGCTTGACTCGCATGATAATATTTTGAGAGTCGTTAACAAAATTGTTGCGTCAAATACGCAGGAATCACGCGTCATGTAAAAAAAACCTGTAAAGATAAAGTTATTAACCTCATAAATTTTTTTTAACTTAGTCGGGGGGATGTCCCATGACCTATATAATAGCAAGTTCATGTACACAAGTCATTCATTGTTTCGTTCCCTATCAATCTACTGTTAAATAAACACTCAAATAGTCACACAATCAATTATTCGAGGTTCCTTTATGATATAAATATATATTATTTCACGAATGGCATGAGAAATTCTGAATGGCGATAACTGTTACAGTTAGTTGTGAGAAAACATCTATTTTATTGTGTTATGTTCATGAATATATTGCAGAGTGGAGATGATTACCAAGAACATGGAGAAGATGGATGGATGGATCAAGGAGTATCATCAGCGGGAGGAGAAGAGAACAGAGGAAGTGAAGCAGAGGGAGTTGAAGAAGAAGAAGCTCCTGGATGACGCAATGGCTTTCTTCGGCTACAAGGTTGATCCAAGAGATGAGAAGTTTAAGGAAATGCTGGAAGCAAAAGCTAAAGAAGAAAAAAGATTGGCCAAACAGAAGAAGAAGGAAACGCAGACAGCTAAACTCATGGCCAGAATCCAGGCTGAAGCACAGAAGAAGGACTCATAAGTGTCCAATGTAGATTTTCATAGAGACTTGACATAAACATTTGTGTAAGACTTGAATATTCAGAGACATTTTGTGTGGATGTTATGACGAATAAGTGCATTGAGTGAAATAAAATACAGTGTAAATATTGAGTTTTTGTAGACTTGTAAAGGATATTTAGCATCAATTACAGTAATACCATGTTATTTTCAAACTCCTAAGACTCAATTCCCAATGTAGGCAGACAGCAGGGTTAGAAGCCTGCTACTCCTTCATGCAATGTGTCCAAGTGTATGCAAGCGGAGAGAATCAGGGCTTCAAGTTACCTCAACTCATGATGAAGAAGATTTGACTTTCTTGGGAGTGTGTGAGTTTAGTTTTACACCGCACTCAGCAATATATCCAGCTATATGGCAGCTGTCTGTAAATAATTGAGTCTGGACCAGACAATCGAGTGATGAACAGCATGAGCATCAATCTGCGTAAATGGGAACCGATGACATGTGTCAACCAAGTCAGCGAGCCTGACCACCGATCCCGTTAGTCGCCTCTTGTGACAAGCATGGGTTACTGAAGATCAATATTCTCACCCGGACTTTCACGGGTGACTTTCATGGGAGGATTGAAACAGTGAAAGAATAAATCATGAAGAAATATAGACATTATTCTTAACCTTTTACTGCTGTACATAACATGACAAGTCTGAACGTCATATCACGTGGGGTAGCCAAGTGGTTAAAGCGTTGACTCGTCATACCGAAGACACGGGTTCGATTCCCAAAATGGGTACAATGTGTGAAGCTCATTTCTGGTGTCCCCCGCTGTGATATTGCTGGAATATTGCTAAAAGCGGTGTAAAACCATACTCACTCACTCATATCAGGTTTCTTACTGTTTTTGTTGCTATAATCAGCTGCTTGGCATGTGTTAAACAGAGTTGTGTCCCTAATGGAAGGGTACTGAATGGATTCAACCTCTAGTGTTTGATTTTCAAGCAGAAAAGAACATTGGTGTAGGCTGCTTGAGTGGAGTAGGAATTCGCTTCAGTGCTTCGGTAAAACATCAACAAAAAACATCAGCTATATTTTTATGGCACATCCATGCCCTTTCCTTGGTTTTTTGGTCTGTGACCCTACTCTGTTAACCTGAGCCTCTTTTTCTTAGGGGCAGTGGGGTAACCTAGTGGTTAAAGCGTTCGCTCGTCACGCCCAGATCATGGGTCCGATTGCCCACATGGGTACAATGTGTGAAGCCCATTTCTGGTGTCCTACTCCGTGATATTGCTGCAGCAATCTTGAGCAATCTTTCTTGGAAAGATCGCAATACAAATGACTAGTTTTATTTATTATTTATTGCTAAAAGCGGTGTGTAAAACCAAAACTCTCTCACTCTGGGGCTGCAGGGTAGCCTAGTGGTTAAAGCATTCGCTCGTCACGGGGGAAGACCCGGGTTGGATTCCCCACATGGGCACAATGTGTGAAGCCCATTTCTGGTGTCCCCCGCCATGATATTGCTGGAATATTGCTAAAAGCAGTGTAAAACTAAACTCAGTCAGTCAGTGATATAACTGGGTTGATTCTTGTCGTCAGCAACCCATCTTTGCCATTGCCTCTTTTGTTCATAAATGGCAGCCAAGCAAGTGGGCACTGATTGACCAGTGAGTATCAGCATTAGAACTGATCTTCAGTAGCGAGTGAGTTTAGTTTTACACGCTTTTAACAATATTTCAGCCATATCACTGTCGGAGACACCAGAAATTGGTTTCACACATTGTACCCATGTGGAGAATCAAACCCATCATCTGGGCGTGACAAGCGAACACTTGACCACTTGGCCCTGATCTTCAGTAACTCATGCTTCTGGTTAGAGCTGAGTAAGGGGATCGTGTGGCCTGGTTCAATTATTCGGTTAATGCATATCTCCCGCACCATGATTAGGAAGATCGATGCTCATGATGTCAATCACTGGATGGGTTTGTCTGGTCCAAACTGGATTATTTACAAACCACTGTCATTTACATGGAATATTTCTTAGTGCTGCTAAACAACAAAGAAACAAAAAACTTCACTAAGACTTACTGACTTACTGAGTTTGCTTTTAGCAATATTCCAGCAACATCACGGCCAGGGACACCAGAAATGGGCTTCACACATTGTACCCATGTGGGGATTGACCAGCCAAAGCTTTAACCACTAGGCTACCCCACCGCCCCACTTCACTAAGAACCTGTTGGACACCCTTAGTGTTAATTTCAATTTGTAAAGTGTTTAGCCAGTCAGTTTTGTCCAACACCAGGTATGGTCTTAGATCCGGGTCATAATAAGCCTTTAGCAACCCATGCTTGTCGTAAAGGCGACTGAGTGCTCAGACTCACTGACTTGGTTGACACATGTCATCGCATCCCATATGCGCAGATCGACGCTCATGATGTTGATCACTGTATTCTCTGGTCCAGACTCCCTTAATTACAGACCAATGGCTGGAATATTGCTGAGTGCGGCGTTTAACAACAAGCGCAACCAACACCGAAGGGGGTGGCAGGGGTGGGAGAATGATCGTTCTAATTGTTTAAAGCGCTCGTAAAATCTAACCCATGAGCTTGAACGAACGTGTTTCATTTTGTAATGAATGATTACGCAAATTAAACTATCTGCTAAGAGCGGTGACGGTGTGATATTCATGAGAGTCGGGGATAATCACTAGGGGTAATAAATACACAAATTGTACTAAAAAGTCACAGTTTACGTGTACTGCATTTAATGTGAGCCCATTTCAGAGGTGATTTAGACCAACATCTACCTGGAAATGTCACACCGCTATTGATTTCCGCCTCCCAGAGGAGACGTCCGCTGGTGCAAGGTGTTCGTGTACATATTTATTGATTGGGGAGGATTATCAAGTATAGGAGGTAGATGTGTGCATGGTGTACAGGTAGTACCAACTTATGTGACCCTAGACGTGTCATATATTCTTCAAAGAAAGTAGTGGAACCTGAACTTTCAATTAGAATAGGAAGTATAAGGGGGGTGGGGGGTGTTCCCAACCCCAACCCCAACCCCAACCCCCCTGGATCCGCCACTGGACACCTTAAGAACGCGCCACCATTTCTTTTTATCACCACCCCTAAACACAACGCACGGGATGCACATGCAAAACGCAGTAGCCCCATACACGTGCATGGGGTGTCATTCTTGATTTTGACGGTTTCAAGAAGATTGATAAATGACTGTAGACCATTACTTTTGACAATCATCTTGCATCACACGGTTGTTAGTGTTTGTTTCTAGCCGGGTTTTTTGTTGTGTTTTTTTAAATGAAAATCGTCCACATGCACATTTCACGTCATACACCAATCATCTTCCAAGTGCGATTTACTGTTCAAACAACTATGGTCATTAGGAGGTGCAAGTTTTGATGCACTCTCAAAGCATATATTATTATCATATCAACATTGATTGACTCAGATATATCTCAAAAAAATAATTTAATCGTAATTTAAAATTGAAGTTCCCTATCTTTTTTTGGGGGAAAAGTATATAAATGTTATGTCTATGGTGTAACATATATTGTTGTAAACATACTGTTTTGTCACTATTATTTCATAGATAGCACTAACGTCCCTTCCCCTGCTATGATATCTCATCACATCCTTGTATTTTCGGAGGAGGAATTAAGATCTAATTTCAACATTTTCTTTCGAAGTTCGGAGTTTCATGATTAGAAAACACTTTCGGATTGTCATTTCCTGGTCTGGTAAGCGACAGTCTGACTGGTTGGTGAATGAGTATTGTTTGACGCCGCTTTTAGCAATATCACGGCATATTCGCACATTGTAACCATGAGGGGAATCGAACCGGGTCTTCGGCGTGACAAGCAAACGCTTTAACCACTAGGCTACACCACCGATCCCTGACTGGCTGATGAAATGAGATGTCCTCAGATGTTCTTGGAGTGGAAGTCAGACCTGAGATCCGATTTTAATGAGTTTGGCCTGTTTGTGACATGACGAAGAAATGCGTTTACTATCGAACTGTCGTATTTTTAGCCAGGGAACATAAAGATTTATATTATGGTCTCCGCTAAAGCACAGTTGAAGGTGTAGTCACTAGTCACCGGGATACAAGGTGTGTTGGGCCGCTTGGGCGTGTCTTCCCCGTCAAACAGATTGGATTTTTTTTAGTAATATTTACCTAATTATAACTCAGATTGATATAGGTATTATCCAAAGCGCCAGTCCACACCGCTGCACTTTCAATGTAGCAAAGTGCAGAGTTAGAGGTGCTGTACACTGTGTCCGGGCAAATGCAATGCAGTGTTTCTGATAACACTTGGCTGGAATACTTTTGCGGGGTTTATAAGACCTTGTATTGATCAGTTTCCCTCATTTAAAACAGCGGCAATACGTCACTGTCAGACGAGACATTTATTCCAATGTCTAATCCAACCTTCACCTGGCAACCTGACATAGAGAAACAGACTGTCGATTCACGTTATGTGGGTCTTTTTCAACACAAAGCTGGGCGGTGGAGCAGCCTACGAGCGTTGTCTCGTCACACCGAGGACCCCGGTTCGATTCCGGTACAGCGTGTGAAGCCCGGTTCTGGTGTTCCAAGCTGTGATATTGCTAGAATATTGCTAAAAGAGGCGTACAACTAAACTCACTCACTCAAACATAATGCTTTCGATATTTGCGAATCCTTTAACGGATTAATTGCGGCATTGTGATGTTATATCAGTGATTACAAATTTTAATTGTGTTCGAAATAACAGTGTTCTCGATTAGTGTCACATAATGTAAAGGTAATAATATCAAATGAAAGCACAACATATATATAGTCAGTGTCATACACTACCGGTGAGGTGAGGTGAAATTGGGTTTAACGTCGTGCTTGAAAATATTTCGCTCATATGACGACGTGCATGCGTGTGTATGTGTATGTGCGGCTGCTTGTACTAGCCCAGACTTAAGCTGGGTTTATAGTGCTAGCCCACTGAGATACTATGCCGCATTGAAGCATGAATACCCCACTCAGACACATTATACTGACTCCGAGCTGACCAGTCCTTGATGTAGCCGTGAATGCCGAGCGCCAGGCAGGGACCAACAAGTACCATATTTTAACGTCTTTTGGTATGACGCGGTCGGGGATCGAACCCGCGACCTTCCGCTCACCGGGCGGACGCTCTAACCACTACACCACGGAGGCGGTCTCGTACACTACCGGCACAACATCGTTTAAGATCATGTTCTAGCTTTTGTGCCAGTGGGGAGCCAACAACGTCATCGCAGATGTTGCAGAAGTTTTGATGCACATAATGTAAAAGTGAGATGAACAAGTTGCACCATATTCCAGTAATACCAAAGCGTGTCGGTGTCGCTTAGGCAGAAAACCCGAAATGATGCGAGTATGGTTCTGAGCTGCTCTTAGCAATAATTCAGCAATATCACGGCGGCGGACACCAGTAATTTGCTTCACACATTGTACCCATGTGGGGAATTGAACCCAGGTCTTTGGTGTGACGAGCGGACGCTTTAACCACTAGGCTACCCCACCGGGCCCATCCCGAAGTGATGTGGATCCCAGAGGTTTACCACTGCTGTACGGGTATCGTCATGAGAAATCTAGATACTTCATCGGGAGGAACCAGGCGTGGACCATTCAGTCAAAGGTTTCGAAGTGATCTCAGCTCTGAAGTGATCTTAACTTACCCTCTTTAGCATTGACGTACGAGCGTCACAACACTTCTATCATTTTGAAAGCTGGGACTGGTTTCGCGCAAGGATCCTGTTGAACGCTTTTGTGGCGGATCCGTAACCCAACCTCGTCTTCAGTTTAGGGTCGTAAGTGTAATGGTATGAGGTGTGAGTGAGTAAGTTGGGTTTTACACCGCTTTTAGGAATATATCAGCAATATCACGGCGGGGGACACCAGAAATGGGTTTCACACATTGTACCCATGTGGAGAATCGAATCCGGGTCTTCGGCGTGACGAGCGAACGCTTTAACCACTAGGCTACCCCACCGCCCCGGTATGAGGTGTGTCAAATGGTATGAGTCAAATTAAAGCACAACATATATATAGTCAGTGTCGTACACTACCGGCACAAGATCGTTTAAGATCATGTTCTAGCTTTTGTGCCAGTGAGGAGCCAACAACGTCATCGCAGATGTTGCAGAAGTTTTGATGCAGATTAACATCGCTGTGCCGTCATACCTGCTGTTTCTCCTAATCTTCAACGCATGGAACATGTCTTGGATGGGATGGGTCGACGCCTACGACAGGACCAGAATCAGGCGGGAACGCATCATAGCATCACCCATGCTCTATTCAATCATCTTGGGTCTTCAATTACACTGACGCTGCCTCACCTATTTATTCAGAGTATTTTAACATTTTCCTTCCATTGTTGGTACAGGTCTCTCTCAGTTCATCTCAAATCTAAAATAGACAAAATTGTTAAGTAAAATCGCTGGAGTCAGATTTGAATGTTTATCATCAATATATGAGCGGCAAATCGTGAATCAAGCTGTCAAAATCATATCTGACCGTACTCACTACTTAAATTCGGAAAACAACCTCCTCCCTTCAGGCCGCCGCTACAAAGTTCCAGTTGTGAAAACTTAGAGAGCCCGTACATCCTTTATTCCAAGTACCATATCTCTCTTAAATAAATGTGAAGATACCTAAATCAAAGAATTTATGTAAATATGTTTGGTATCTCTATAAAGTGCCAGTAGCTCTGCTGATGTAACACAAATTCCTGAAAAGGCATTAAAGTACTATTCTATTCTATTCTATTCTATTCTATTCTATTCTATTCTATTCTATTCTATTCTATTCTATGTGAACGTACATGGTGTGCACTTCGATATTGACATTATCATGCACCAAGTTGCTACAGAAACTCTCTTTTCGGACGCGTTTCTTTTTGTCAGATTCTGTTACGGGTTTTATCAGTTAATGTGTGACTGTAAGCTATTGATCAGACTAATGACCCTATATTACATTATTTGAAACATTTACACCATTTTATATGAAACACAGCTACTTTTCTACCCTGGTATAGTTAAGTCAAGTTTTGAAACGAGACCGTGTACAAGTCTCGGAGGTCAAACAAGCGTAAGTCCATAAACTTTAGTGCAAACCCATGCCAGTCTTATGACTGAAGCAATGTACAGAGTTACACATGGCCGTTCCTATAGGAGCTCACAGGACTGAACCCACGCTGAAGAGGGACAGATTGTATCGTTTGTCGACCTTATTGCAATAGATGTGACGTTTCGGTTAGAGGTGAGGTGAGGTGAGGTGAGGTGAGGTGAGGTGAGGTGAAATTGGATTTAACATCGTGCTTGAAAATATTTCGCTCATATGACGACGTGCATGCGTGTGTATTACAGGTGCGGCTGCTTGTACTAGCCCAGACTGAAGCTGGTTTTATAGTGCTAGCCAACTGAGATACCATGCCGCAGTGAAGCATGAATACCCCACTCAGACACATTATACTGACTCCGAGCCGACCAGTCCTTGTTGTACCCATTAATGCCGAGCGCCAGGCAGGGACCAACAAGTACCATATTTTAACGTCTTTTGGTAGGACGCGGTCGGGGATCGAACCCGCGACCTTCTGCTCTCCGGGCGGACCGTTTCGGTTAGAAGCTAACGCCGTTATCAAGCAAGTGAATATCCCGGTTTTTCGGCGCCTCTACACCGAAGCGTCGCATCTATTGCCAAAAAGAAGTTGTCAATCCAAAAAGAGTGTTCCTGATCATCATACTAGGGAGAATAGAAGACGCTGTAGAGTGTAGATTATCTCTGATCATATCAGCTTCTACATTCCCCTTAAAGAAGTGGAACACACGTTCATGTCCTCCTATAATGGCACCAGGCCGTTAGTTGATTATTTGATTAAAAATAGCGACTATACTCTGCAAATCAGCAATGGTGATGGAGGAATAATAAAATCCTGTGATACAGTTTGGTTTGACGCGTCAGCGAGATACGTGTACAGGCACACTACACAGACTGGCGTCAAAATACACTGTCGACATATGATCATTGACAATAGACAGTATATATTCACACCCTGGACCAAACGTTACAAAACGCTATGAAACTAACTTGATGCTAACAAACTCTGTGTTGTGCAAGTCGGACAGTGCAATTATTCCAATATTCATTGTCCATAACACATGGCTGGGTCTAAGACGTTGTTTTGCTAACACAGTAATCAACATCGATTGGTTGTGATGCTCTGGGCAAGGATTATCCACCCTTGGCCGACGAAGCGCAAGGGAGGTAATCCGCCTTAGTGACAAAATGGATGCCAGAATGCTTTGCGAAACTGGCTGAAGGAGTGCGGGATATTACCGACTGAGTGTTGCTTGTCATTACACAAAACAATGCGGATGTCGTAATATTGCAGGTACTGTGTATTTCGACGTTATTTTGTTGTGCTATAGAACCAGGTTGTTATTTGGATAATTCAGGTAAGATATTTGGGCAGGTGTGAGCATATTGCCGACTTGTTTGGCAGGTGTGTGCGACTCGGTCCACGGGCGTACAACTACCACACGTTTATTGCTTGTCAGACGCAACTCGGTGTTTCGACCAGCCTAGCCTTATTGCAGTGTAGGCTGTTCCGGTTAAATAACAAGAGCACAAACAGGTTGATTAAAAAAATATCTTGAAACTGGATAATGAATGGTTCATACGAATATTGCATGTTTGGGTGAAGTATACAATATTGTTTTTACAATGTGCATCACATTGTAGGTACACATATTGAACAGCAAGCCGCTAAGGGGTTCACATTGTGTTATAGTTGTATTTCATTGCTATAATTAAAATTCTCTAATTCTAAACAGTAGGGGTGTCACGGTTCGGTTCAGGGGCGGTGGGGTAGCCTAGTGGTTAACGCGTTGGCTCGTCACGCCGAAGACCTGGGTTCGATTCCCCACATGGGCACAATGTGTTCAGCCCATTTCTGGTGTCCCCCGCCCTGATATTGCTGGAATATTGCTAAAAGCGGCGTAAAACCATACTCAGTCAGTCAGTCAGTCGGTTCGGTTCATCGAAAATCGAATCGATAGATGTACGATTCGATTTCAAATGCATCCATTTCGATTCGATTCATAAAGTACTTACATTCTAATACTGAGAATTTATTTCACCTGAAATCGTAAGAAATTATGTTGAAAATTCGCTGCTACAAGTGTGGCCAGTGAGAGGGTATTCTCTCCACTGCCCGGTGTCATTGTAAGTGCCCAGAGGGTATGTCTTTCAAGTTAAAATTCCTTGCACAAAACATGATCATTCCAAATGGCTTATAGTGATATTACAGTAACAATGAACACTTGACACCAAAGTTCGTGACTGAAACTTAATTTCATGATCACTTGTTCAGTGAGTATTTGTTGACAACTTGTCTTGACAGTGTTCTAATTGTGCATTGTGCCAATTTTTCAAAGTTTGCCAAATTAAACTGATATTACAACAAGTTTGACTTTGTCCTCAGCTTCGGTGAATCGAATTTAATCGAATCGAACGAATTGAATCGATAATCGTATCGAATCGAAGTGAGAGTGAATCGTGACACCCCTACTAAACAGGCCATGTGCTTGATGTTCCTCTATCTCACATGATGTTGCACATGTCACAGGTAATTTTTTACGGAAAGGTTGCACATGTCACAGGTAATTTTTTACGGAAAGGTGATTAATGGGGCACTGAATTAGAACCATTCCCCAGTACTGGTTGTTGCATTTGTTATTGTTTTTTTCAAGTGGGTACCCTGATGATATCTGATAATTCTTTACTGGTTCTTGATTTCTGCTGTGTCACCTGTAAGCGTGGTTGATAATATGAGGGCATACCCTCACATTGATCAACCAAGATGAAATACAGCTGTATCGAGGAAATGTAGTAATCTTTGTGACTTCTTGATATTTCTGTAACTTAACAAACTGACTGCAAAATTTGCCCATCTGTTTTATTTTGATTACAGGTCCAAATATTTTAAAGGGAACTCAGTGTACATCTTCATATTTTTTCTTAAAATCCTAAAATATTCCTTTTGTTATTATGTTTTTATGCACTTTGGAACTTCATTAAAAATTTTAGTCAATCTGGGGTTTTTTTTCTGAATTTGTAAAATGACTGTTTATCTAGATATTTTATAAATTGAGTAAGTGAATCATATTTACACATTCGTGCCTATAAAAACTAAGTGCATGTTGTCTGTCTCAAATCGAAGAACTTGAGGGCAATAATAATGAAGTGGAATGATTTTGTTGAATTCTACAAGAAATGAATGAAAACAAAATGCAAATATCGAAACTAAATCAGGTGATGATTTTATTCAATAAATGCATCAGCCAAAATCCACATAAATGGACAATGTCCCAACTATCTGCAGCTGACAAAGAAACATGTTCCATGTCAAGTATCTTTTTGCAATGTAATATTGTAAAATGTATATAGTGTTTCATTATATTATAACTTGTGATAGTTTCTCAACTAGCTAGTCACACAGCTTTGTTTCCGGTTTTTCACATTGGTGTAAAGTCTCATTGGTCAATCGGGATAGAATATGTAGCGACATTTTATTTGATGTCCATGGTTCTTTGAAAACAATTTAGTTAGACAAGAATGAGCAATCATTCAATTTGTTGTCAGTTAATCAGAAATCCAAAAATGCTTGGGAATCTTTATCAAAATCAGATTTGTAGTCATCACGTACATGTTTAAAAAATGGCATCTGATGGGCATCCTCACTTCTTTTGGTGCACTTGTCTAGGTTTGAGAAATTAATAAACATCTGTACTTTGGTAAACGTGTACATGCTTAAACATTGTCTAAAAGTTTATGTCCAAGATCTTTACAAATATTTTACAGTTGCGTCCACCTGCGAATCTTCTCACAGCAGGTATTGAAAACCAAGGTGGCAGTGTTAGACTTCCGGTGTAACAGGCCATTTCTTCCCCGGTCTAAACTTTCCCCAGGGAGAATCTGGCCTAGGCCAAACTTTCCCCGGGGAGGTTTTGTCCTTGGATATTCTTACCCCTGGGAAAGTTTGGCCTAGGCAAGTTGGGTTGTTGTTGTGTTGAGGTTTACGTCTGCTTCCAACTGTTAAGTTGATGTCACCGACATGGATGCCATATTTAAAGCCATGAGTGAGGGAATAAAATTTTGATTTGATATGGACATCCAAGTGAAAACTGGGTATTTAATTAAAGTTTCAAATATAGTAATGATTTTGACATAAGCCAATTTTGAGTAAGTGGGGATAAGTAAATTATTGAAATATAAAATAAGTAAATGATAATATAAAACAATAGTAATGATATAATATCTTTGCTTTAATGCTGGCTTTTCTTTTTAATCTCACCTTATAGAAGGGTATTGAAAGAGTTTGGCCTAGGCTAAAGTTTTCCCGGGGAAGGTTTGGCCTGTTACACCAGGTGAAGACATGGGTCAGTGCCCCTTGTAGAAGGTAGTACCATTCTCTCTCTCACTCTCTCTCTCTCTCTGAGTCTCTCTCATAATTCTGGTGTATGATATTTTATACTATGTGGAACATAATTGTCAGTTATCAACAATGTAATTTTTTCAGGAGAATGATTGATAAATCATATAATTTAAGTTCATATAAAATATATAACAATGTTGACACTCAACCAAATTTAATAGAACACTTTAAACAAACTGACCAGCACATATTTTAGTTTCAGTATAACCTTTTTGAGCAAATTCATAATCAGCACACATTGTATCCACTTCAATGAAACAAAGCTACAATGAATTAAAGTGTATACCCCTAGTCAGCTGTTACCTCACTAGACTCTGGGCTGTATATATAATTATCACATAGGGACAGAATTACTGTGAATGGCAGTTACAAATTTGTGAACCTTACAATCAATTTTCATCTACTGTTCCTCAAATTACCTCAGAAATGCTGACATTCATATATGTAACCAGCTTTTTAACACATACTTTTAGCTTTTCATACCCGTGAAGGTCCGGGTTAGAATTGATCATCAGTAACCCATGCTCATCGTAAGAGACGACTAACGGGATCGGGTGGTCAGGCTCGCTGACTTGGTTGACACATGTCATCGGTTCCCAATTGCGCAGATCGATGCTCATGCTGTTGATCACTGGATTGTCTGGTCCAGACTCGATTATTTACAGACCGCCGCCATATAGCTGGAATATTGCTGAGCGCGGCATAAAACTAAACTCACTCACTCACTCACTGTTTTTGACAGGATTTTTCCACTAGAAATCAATAAAGCAACAGAAAAGAAACTTTCTCACTATGTCATGTATATGTTTCAAAGTGTAGCCTTAAATTGAAGTTGCGGACCGTGAAGATGCGGGTTAGAATTGGTCTTCAGCAACCTATGTTTCTTGTAAAAGGTGACAAAAGGGATCAGGCTCGCTGACTTGGTTGACACATGTCATCGTATCCCAATTGCACAGGTCAATGTTCATGCTGTTGATCACTGGATTGTCTAGCCAGACTTGATTATTTACAGACTGCTGCCATATATGTGGAATATCGCTGAGTTAGGCAGTAAACAACAAAACAACTAACCAAAATGGTGGTTGCTGGTTTCTGAAAGCTTCTTTTTAATGGTCTAGAGTCACATAAGTTGGTACTACCTGTACTGTGTACACTATACACACATCTACCTCTTATACTTGAGAATCCTCCCCAACCAATAAATATGTACATGAACACCTTGCACCAGTGGGAGTGCAGAGAAAGGGACAGCCAGGTGTTCGAGAACGGATGGAGACGGCACAGCACAGGTTAATGAATAAATAACTTTGTCTGTGAACGTGCTTCTCGAACACCTGGCTGTCCCTTTCTCTGCACTCCTCCCTCGTAACAAACAGTGAACTGTGTCAATATTTTAATGATAGTTTGTTAAACAACATTATTATTTTTAGGTCAAAAATTCTGCAAAAACCTCACAGAGTGGGTATGATGTTTTGATTATGATCAGCGTGTCATTGAGTATGTTATGTTTATTAGTTTTTGAGTTAGATTGCAATTCATCGGTCCGCTTTTGAGCCAAACAGACTGTAGACATAACAGTTATATCACATGTCTAGGGTCACATAAGTTGGTACTACCTGTACTGTGTACACTATACACACAACTACCTCCTATACTTGAGAATCCTCCCCAACCAATAAATATGTACATGAACACCTTGCACCAGTAGACATAACCGTTATATCACATGTCTAGAGTCACATAAGTTGGTACTACCTGTACAGTATACAGACATCTACTACACCTACTTGAAAATCCTCCCCAATCAATAAATACGTACATGAACACCTTGCACCAGCAGACTTCTCCTCTGGAGGTGACAATCAATAATGTTGACATTTCCAGGTAGATGTTGG